AAGCCACACACCCCTACCTCCATGTTTGTCATAAAAGAAGGATGTGAAATGTCGGTCATTAAAATCAGACAACACGAGGTACAAGCTCATTGTTTCACCTTGGATAAAAAAGATATGGCCATCCATGGTGTTTTGACATCCAACAATACATTGAATGAGGGAAATATCTGATTGAAGTATCCGATAATGATAAGAAAATGATCAGACGTATAGCTGTCAGATTCTCATTGCATGGGGGCATCCTATATAAGAAAAGCTTTGATTAGGTCCTGTTGAGATGTGTCGACCTTAAGGAAGCTCAAGCCCTGATGAAGGAAATCCACGAGGGAACTTTTGGTACCCACATGACGGGACATGTCATGGTCAGGAAGATCATGAGGGCATAATATTTCTGGTCAACCATGGAAAAGGAAAATATCTTTTATGCGAGATGTCAAAAATGTCAAGTATATGCTGATAATACCCAATTCCCACCTAACGAGCTCAACGTAATGATGTCACCTTGGTTGTTCTTGATGTGGGGCATAGATGTCATTGGACCCGTTGAACCCAAAGCTTCGAATGGACACAGATTCATTCTTGTAGCCATCGACTATTTCACTAAATGAGTTGAAGCCATGTCATACGCACATGTAACCCGTAAAGTGGTGGTCAATTTTGTCAGGAAAACATAATATGCCAATATGGAATCCCTTACAAAATTATAACAGATAATAGGTCCAACCTTAATAACAAGATGATAACCAAATTGTGTGACTCTTTCAAAATTCAACATCACAATTCCTCCCCGTACATACCAAAAGTGAACAGGGCGGTCAAAGCAGCTAGCAAGAACATCAAGAAGATTATCCAAAACATGGTTGTCACGAATATGGATTGGCATGAAATTTTACCTTTTGATTTGCATGGGTATAGGGCATCCGTCCATACATCGATAGGTGCTACACCTTTCTCCTTAGTATACGAGATGGAGGCAGTCCTACCTATAGAGGTAGAAATCCCTTCTTTAAGACTACTCATGGAAGCAAAGCTCCCCGAAGCCGAGTGGGAGCAAACTAGATTTGATCAGTTGAATCTCGTAGAAGAAAAAAGGTTGGACGTTATCTGTCATAGAAAAACTTACCAAAGGAGAATCAAGAAGGATTTTGATGAGAAAGTTCATCCTGACACTTTCAAGAGGGTGATCTGGTGCTTAAGAAGCTTATACTAGCCCATAAGGATAAGATAGGGAAGTGGACACCAAATTACGAGGGTCCATATGTAGTCAAGCGAGCTTTTTCAGGCAAAACATTGATCCTTACCAACATGGATGGTGAAGAACTTGCTTATACAGTAAACTCTAATACCGTAAAGAATTTTTACGCTTGAACACAATTGCTTGCAAAAAAAATTAATTAGGATACATCCTAGGCAAAAGCTAGGAATAGGACAAAAAGCAGGCGACGAGCACCTAGATCGAAAACCAAAAAGCAGTCTAGGAACTGTTAAGTCAGATGAAGCGCATTTGCAATTCCCATCGAGGTTTTGAAAATGACAAATATAATACATATTGTTATTCCTAACATGTGCATTAGTGTTTCAGATGGATAACAATAAGTTCAAGCAAAACTGAAGGACAAAGTATGATCAAGCATAATCGAATTGAACAAGACATCAGACGATAACAAAACTAGTATCAAGACTAAGGTTGATCCAGGCCCAAATCAAATACAAGATAAGACGAATCTATCAGCTAAAGCTTGAGGGATCAGACGTAAGACCAAAACAGGTATCATATGAGACTAAGTCAAGAACAGGATGAAAGTTAGATAAACATCAACATGGATTTGCAAAATCATCAGATAGAGCCTAACATACAAGCAGACGAAGTCATCACTAGTATCGAATTGAACAAGACATCAGACGATAACAAAACTAGTATCAAGACTAAGGTTGATCCAGGCCCAAATCCCATACAAGATAAGACGAATCTATCAGCTAAAGCTTAAGGGATCAGACGTAAGACCAAAACAGGTATCATATGAGACTAAGTCAAGAACGGGATGAGAGTTAGATAAACATCAACATGGATTTGCAAAATCATCAGATAGAGCCTAACAAACAAGCAGACGAAGTCATCACTACCAGACAGAAAGGGTAGTCAAGACTAGATGAAGAATCAAAACTAAAATGAGTATCCAGATGCAATTGAAAAATAATGAAGCGCGTCTGAAGTCCACTAATCACATTGAGTGAAACCATACAAGAAACACAAAAAGACACCGAACATGAATACAGAAAGAAGAAAAATAGGCAAGCATGGATTCACAAGTCAAAGTTGTGTGTGTCAGAAAAAAAGGACACTTATTTTTCAGAAACAAACAGCACCTCAACAGCTAAACTGATGAGAAAAGTACAAATATGCCTAGATCATGATTGAAGTTAGACATTGAAATAATCAACTACACAGAAGGACTTCACGTATACAAGCAAATATTTAATGCAAGATCAAATGCATTAAATGAAAAGATTTACATAGCCATGAACAAGCCTTCATCTGCAACGACATGAAGCTCCGCTCCAACAGGAAAATTTGAATTCAAACAACGGGCAAATTTATCAACAGGCTATAAGTATCAAGGCATAAAAGAAGAAGAAGTAGAGAACTGAGAAGTAGAGAAAATGTGAATTTAAGAAAGAGAAAGTGAAAAAGAATAAGCTACATTTCTTCTGAAAGCATTTCCTGTATATCTGTGTAAAAACTAAGATAGCTTATCTTAGTGAGTTTTGCTAATATTCTATCCTCTTTACGAGAGTAAACAAAACACTTAGACACATATTCCTGTAAAACTAAGGTTACGCACCTTAGTGAGTTTAGAAACCATCCTATCCTCTCTGTGAGAGTTGCAAACACACTCAACACCTTCATTTGCTGTAAAGCCTGAAGAGGTTGGTTGAAAGAATACTTGTGAACTAGAAGTGGTTTGAGAATACTAGCGCTAGTGAGTGATGCTAGTGGGCCAAAAGTGGTCAAGAATACTTGGAGAACCAGAAGTGGTTATGAATACTAGCGTCGACAAGTGAGGTTGACAAGCCAGAAGTGGTTGAGAATACTTGTAATCCTCTATGATTAGTGGAACCCTTCAGTTGTAGGAGACTGGACGTAGCTCAGATTGAGTGAACCAGTTTAAAAATCTGTGCATACCTTTTTCTATTTCTCAAACACTACTTGTTTAAAAACTTCGTCTTTCATCTACTTTCATTTCAACAATTTGATAAGACGAAAACACACTTGTCCACTATTTTTGAAGGAACAATTTTTTTTGGACGATAAATCCTTTCAGACGGAAAACATGCTTACTCAACTTGTTTGTTGAAGCAGGCGATCAGTTTTATTGAATGCAAAAAGCTTTCAAGTCAGATGAGCCTGCACAAGTTTTAAACAATGCTTGAATATTCTTTGTATTAAAAGAAAAAATAGTATCTTTTGCAAAATGATTTTGAAAAATCTTCCTTCGAACACACACACACATTCAACCCCCCCTTCTGTGTGTATTTTCGCTAACTTCAGTTGGTATCAGAGCTTGACCCCTTGGGTTGAGCATCTAACACTACAGGAGAAACGATCATGGAAAACGAAGGACAGGCCATAAATCGTCCACCTCTCTTCAGAGGAACAAAATACGACTACTGGAAACAAAAAATGATTGCATTCTTTGATGCATGTCATATAGACATGTGGGACGTTGTGGAAAAAGGAAACTACATCCCTTGAAATGAAGCCAGTGATGAGATACCCAAGGCACAATGAAATGAAGAGCAGAAGCAAAGATTCGTGCTAAACTAAAAAGCACGCAATGCGCTCATGTGTGCCCTGTCTGAGGAGGAATACACTAAAGTTCACAGCTTCAGAAGTGCAAAACAGATGTGGGATACAATAGCCCTGACCTACGAGGGATCCCTAGAGGTAAAACGCAAGATGCTAAGCTTGTTGGCGTGTAAGTATGAACTCTTCGAAATGGAAAAAATTGAATCTATCCAAACCATGTTTGGAAGATTTCAAACAATTGTAAATGAACTATCATTTTTAGGAAGAACTTACGATAATTTTGATCATATTGACAAATTACTTCAAAGTTTACCCAGGAAGTGGAGACCACAGGTCACAGCCTTGAGAGCGTCCAAAAACTTAGAAAAGCTCTCACTGGAGGAACTCACTAGACTACTTAAAGTCCATGAGTTGGAGCTACAACAAGACGATGTTGGGAGAAAACAGAAATCCATTGCACTGAATGTACAAAAGACAAAGTCCACTCCAACATCCTCAAGAGTCCTAAAGGCAGAAGAGACATCTAATGAAAGTTGTAGTGAAGGTACTTGCGATACAGACGATGAGATATCCTTCTTATCAAGGAATATCCTCTCAATGATGAAAAAGAAGGGAGGAATACGATGGAGAAAATACAGCAGAACTCCCAAAGAGAAAGCACAACCACTGTGCTTTGAGTGCAAGAAACCTAGACACTACAAAATAGAATGTCCAGAACTAGAAAAAGAAAAAGAAAAAGAGAAAAAGAAGTCGATCTCCTATAAGAAAAAGAAGGCAATGATGGCCACCTGGGAGGACCATGATACCACGTCACCTAAGGATGATGTAGAAGCAAACATCTGTCTTATGGCAGACACAGACTCATCATCAGAATCTGATGATGAAGAGGTAACTAAATCTGACTTTAAAACTCTTGAGCATGCATATAATCAACTTTTGTCTGATTCTGCTAAAATCTCTACAGCCTATAAGAAACAAAAGAAAAAGATTTTTGAGTTACTTGAAGAAAATTTGCTTCTTAAAAATGAGAATGCAAAGCTATCAAGAGAATTCAAAAAATATTTTTCAACTTCAGAAGAAGTGAACAAACTTAACAAAGAAATTGACCTATTAAAATCATATTTGTCAAAATTCACTCTAGGAGCTAAAAATCTCAAACATCTTTTGAAATATTCTAGAAGTGGAAATAATAGATCTGGACTAGGATATGTTGAATCTGAATCAAAGATTAAAAAAAGAACACATAAATAAGTGTCTAATTAATCTGATGAAATATGAATTTGAGACACTTATCTAGCACAATTTTTGTACATATTGATATAATTTTGGTCTTTATATACTTAGAATCAAAGAGGGACTTTTGATGTATGTTAGGACAGGAGCGATGAATCTTTTGATCCAATTTTGTGTTTATTTTGTAGGTTTTGAAATCTGGAGGAAAATGGCTCAGCCATTCAAAAGGGCTGAGCGGATTCAAGCCAGAGAGCCTTCCAAAAGTGCACCAAACTGGAGGCGCTCAGCCACTCCAAGGCACTGAGCGATTTTGGCCCTAGAAGAAGGAGTGCTCTCTGCCTCCTAGGCGCTTAGCGGATCTGAGGCGCCCAGCCCCTTGTGCTTGCTTAATAGTGAAGAATCTCTAAGGCGCTCAGCGGGTCTCAGGGGCTCAGCCCTTCAGGTTACTTCATGGTGAAGAATTCTTCAAACCACTCAGCCGTTTTAAGGCGCTGAGCGGATTCTTCTCTTTCCTGCTTACTCTGTTTTAATTCCATCACTTATAAAAGGGCAGAAGAGAGAGAAAGTGGTATCATCTGGCTGTACGAAAAGGAGAACAGAGAGAAGAGAGAAAATAGAGCACTTTGGAGCTCGTGGGGACGCAATTCTTCAGAGGATCTCTTTCTTCTACCTTTCATCTTGTTTTGTGATTTCTTGTACCATGGAGAGCCAAACTCTAGGGTTGGGATTGATGTAATCGTCGAACTCCTTTGTATTCCTCTTTGATTCATATATATATCTCATCTATTACTCTATGTCAGTGATTTGTTTCTGTTCTTAATGCTTTGATGAACTGATCATTTATCTCTGATTTTGGGTTTAGAATTTGGTTGGAAAACGTTTTCTGAATCTAGACTTGGAACAAATCACCTATTAGTTTCAAAGGTCAGGAATGACTTTGGGATTAATAGTTGTAAGAAGTTCTGACTCTTAATGCGGGATATTTAACTTAATGAAGTGAGGAATCATTCATTGAGTTAAATATCTTAGAATTTCTTATGCCAAGGAATTGGGTCTGAATGAATTTAGAGAACTCAATGGCCATGCGTAATGGAATCATTTGAAAGACTCAATAGGAATGCATAGGGGGGAGATTGATGAAATCTAATCCCAACTGTTTCTCATATCTGTTTCCTTAGAATTAATTTATCCTTTGGTTACTTAAGTTTGATCAATCATTCACATCAAATTTGAACATGTGTAATTACTCAAGTTTTAAATTCACAAGTATCAATTAGTATAATAGAAATCAAGGCTTACTTCACAAGTCCCTAAGGATCGTCAACCTTTTAATTATACTACAGAGACTTGGGTGTGCTTGCTCAGAAAATTAACACACATGCATATTCTTCTCATAGGAATCATGGACATTCTACGTCCACACGCAGTCACATGCACAAAAAGAGGTATTCCAAAACCTCAAGAGCTAACACTCATGGACCCAAATCCATTTGGGTACCAAAGACTGAAATAGTGTCTATTTAAGATTTGTTTAACAAGAACAAGAAATGTCCTGTCATGATACCTGGACAGTGGCTGCTCGCGACCCATGACGGGCAAAAGGTCTATGTTCCTAGACCTCAGGACAAAGAAAGGAGGGCAAGTCACATTTGGAGGAGGACAGAAAGGACATATCATGGGGATAGGTAAAATAGGTATCAACTCCTCTATCACCATTGATAATGTTCTGTGTGTTAAAGGATTAACACATAATCTACTTAGCATAAGTCAATTGTGTGATAATGGTTATGAGGTATCCTTCAACAAAAATAGATGTATTGTTAGTCAATTTGGTTCATCCATATTATTTATAGCTAACAGATGCAACAATTTGTATAAAATAATGCTTAACGAACTAGAAAATCAAAATGTTGATTGTCTAGTTTCATATGAAAACCAGTGGCTCTGGCACAAGAACCTTGGTCATGCAATTTTAAGATTAATTTCGAAACTTAAAAAGCATAACCTCATAAGAGGTCTAACAAGTCTTGTACACCAGACAAACAGCTTATGTGATGCATGTCAAAAGGGGAAACAAATCAAAAGCTCATTTCAAAGTAAAAATCATGTTTCCACCTCTAGAGCTTATGAACTGCTTCATATAGACTTATTCGGACCCACTAGGACAACATCTGTCATTGGTAAACAATATGGACTAGTCATTGTGGATGACTACACTAGATGGACATGGGTGTTGTTCATAACTCACAAGGATGAGTCTTTTAGGTATTTCATGTATTCTGTAAAAGAGTTCAAAATGAAAACAGAATTAAACATAATTTCTCAACACCCAGAGCTCCACAGTAAATTGGGGTTGTAGAAAGAAAAAATCGTTTTTTTACAAGAAATGGTAAGAACTTTACTAAACGATTTCTTCACCCCCAAACATTTCTTGGCAGAAGCAGTTAATACTTCTTGCTATATTTAAAACAAAATATATATTAGGCCTTTGCTGAAAAAGACTCCTTATGAATTGTGGAAGGGACGAGCACCCAACATATCATACTTTCATATGTTTGGTTGCAAATGCTTTATTCTAAACACCAAAGAAAACTTAGGCAAATTTGACTCAAAAACTGACGAGGGTATTCTACTTGGATACTCTGAAAGGTCAAGAGCCTATAGGGTGTTCAACAACAGAACCAAAACTATTGAAGAAGCCATTCATGTTAAATTTGATGAAAACAAGCCTGATAAAGAAATTCAGAGCTAGGCAATTTCTTCGAGAACATGCAGGTGAGCAATGATCAGATGAAGAAGCATGAGTCTGAAGAAACAACGACTCAACAGGATGAAAAAGAGGAAAGAGAACCAGTCAATCGTAACTGGCAGATGAAAGCTCATCACCCATAAGAACAAATCATTGGAAAAGCAAAGGATGCAGTAAGAACTAGAAGTTCGTTCAAAACACAAGCACAAATTGCACTGCTATCCCAAGTTGAACCAAGAACCACGAACGAAGCCTTGTCAGACGAAAGCTGGGTTCAAACCATGTAGGAAAAACTACACCAATTCCAGAAAAATGATGTATGGAAACTTGTTCCAATGCCAGAAGACAGATCAATCATAGGTACAAAATGGGTATACAAGAATAAATTAGACGAATCAGGAAACGTGGTAAGAAACAAAGCAAGGTTAGTCGCAAAAGGATACTTTCAACAGAAAGGTATAAACTTTACTAAAACTTTTGCACCTGTTGCCAGAATAGAGGCCATTAGAATTTGACTTGCTTTTGCCGCATGTACTGGCATGAAATTATACCAGATGGATGTTAAAAGTGCATTTTTAAATGGAACAATCTCGGAAGAGGTTTACGTGAGTCAACCTCCTGGTTTTGAAAATGACCTACTATCATCTCATGTTTTCAAACTAAACAAAGCTTTGTATGGATTAAAACAGGCACCACGTGTGTGGTATGAAAAATTAAGCTTTTTTCTAACAAATAATGATTTTATAAGGGGCCAAATTGACAACACCTTATTTAGAAAAGAAATAAAGGATGATTTCATAATAGTACAAATCTATGTAGATGACATAATATTTGGTGCTACTAATGAAAATCTTTGCCAAGAGTTTTCCAAGCTTATGAAGGATGAATTTGAAATGAGCATGATGGGAGAACTGAAGTTTTTTCTAGGACTTCAAATCATCCAGTCAGAAGAAGGAATCAAAATTCATCAGATGAAATATACAAAAGAATTACTGCACAAGTTTAAGATGGAAGATGCAAAACCAATGAAGACACCGATGCATCCTTCAACTACTCTTGGTCTGGACGAAGAATCACTAGACGTTGATAGCATGATGTACCGAGGAATGGTTGGTTCTCTCTTGTACCTAACAGCGTCAAGACCAAACATCATGTTCAGCATCTGCGTTTATGCTAGGTTTCAAGTACGACCTAACTAGGTACACTTACAAGCTATTAAAAGAATCTAAGATACCTTAAAGGAACAGATAACCTAGGCATCAACTTCTATAGAAGCCATAATTTTTCCCTTCTAGGATATTGTGATGCAGATGATGCAAGAGACAAATGGGAGAAAAAAAGCACTAGCGGAGGATGTCATTTCCTTGGTCGCTACTTGGTTTCATGGACTAGCAAGAGGCAAAGCACGATTGCCTTATCAACTAGCGAACTGAGTATGTTGCTGTAGGACAGTGCCTTATGCAACTGCTTTGGATCAAACAGCAGCTGGAAGACTATGACATTTATGAAATTAGTATTCCTGTACTCTGTGATTACACTACTGCAATTAACATTTCTAAAAATCTTGTTTTGCATTCTAGGACTAAGCATATAGAAATTAAACATCATTTCATTCAAGATCATGTGCAAAATGGAACATTTGAACTGATTTATGGTAAAATTGAAGAACAACTAGCTGATATCTTCACCAAACCCCTTCAAGAAGATAGATATGTCTGGCTGCGAGATAGGCTAGGAATGGAATTTATAGATGATTAATAGTATATTGCACTCGCCCTCTATTTCTTTTTGATGATTACAAAGGGGGAGAAAGAACACAGAAAATATCTATCAACTCTGAAAACTGAAAAGGGTGACTATGTAAGGGGGAGAGCATAGTCTAAGGGGGAGGAACCTTAGAACTTTAGAGAACAAACATAGAAACCCTTACATTACATGTAAATGATATTTTTTTGCTCTATGTCTGATACAAGATGCTTGATATGTATAAACATGTATGAAGGATACATCTAAAAATGACTTGATAGATTATATTTGTCATCATAAAAAAGGGGAGATTGTTAAGTCAAACGAAGTGCATTCGCAATTCCCACCGAGGTTTTGAATATGACAGATATAATACATATTATTATTCCTAACATGTGCATTAGTGTTTCAAATGGATAACAATAAGTTCAGGCAAAAATGAAGGATAAAGTATGATCAAGCATAATCGAATTGAACAAGACATTAGACGATAGCAAAACTAGTATCAAGACTAAGGTTGATCCAGGCCTAAATCAAATACAAGATAAGACGAATCTATTAGTTGAAGCCTGAGAGATCAGATGTAAGAACAAAACATGTATCATATGAGACTAAGTCAAGAACGGGACGAAAGTTGGCTAAACATCAACATGGATTTGCAAAATCATTAGATAGAGCCTAACAAACAAGCAGACAAAGTCATCAGTACCAGACAGAAATGGTAGTCAAGACCAGATGAAAAATCAAAACTAAAATGAGTATCCAAACGCAGTCAAAAAATAATGAAGCGCGTCTGAAGTCTACTAATCACTTTGAGTGAAACCATACAAGAAACACAAAAGGACATCCAACCTAAATACATAAAGAAGAAAAATAGGCAAGCGTGGATTCACAAGTCAAAGTTGCGTGCGTCAGAAAAAGGACACCTACTTTTCACAAAAAGACAACACCTCAGCAGCTAAACTGATGAGAAAAGTACAAATATGCCTAAATCATGATTGAAGTCAGACACTGAAATAATCAACTACATAAAAGGACTTCACGTATACAAGAAAACATTTAATGTAAGATTAAATGCATTAAATGAAAAGATTTACATAGCCATGAACAAGCCTCCATCTGCAACGACATGAAGCTCCGCTCCAATGGGAAAATTTGAATTCAAACAACAGACAGATTTATCAACAGGCTATAAGTATCAAGGCATAAAAAAAGAAGAAGTAGAAAACTGAGATGTAGAGAAAACGTGAAACAAGAAAGAGAAAGAGAAAAGGCATAAGCTACATTTCTTCTCAAAGCATTTCCAGTATATATGTGTAAAAACTAAGATACCTTATCTTAGTGAGTTTTGCTAATATTCTATCCTATCTACAAGAGTAAACAAAACACTTAGACACATATTCTTGTAAAACTAAGGTTACGCACCTTAGTGAGTGTAGAAACCATCCTATCCTCTCTATGAGAGTTGCAAACACACTCAACACCTTTATTTTCTATAAAGCCTGAAGAGGTTGGTTGAAAGAATACTTGTGAACCAGAAATGGTTTGAGAATACTAGTGCTAGTGAGTGAAGCTAGCGGGACAGAAGTGGTCAAGAATACTTGGAGAACCAGAAGTGGTTAAGAATACTAGCGTCGACAAGTGAGGTTGACGAGCCAGAAGTGGTTGAGAATACTTATAATCCTCTGTGATTAGTGGAACCCTTCAGTTGAAGGAGACTGGACGTAGCTCAGATTGAGTGAACCAGTATAAAAATCTGTGCATACCTTTTTCTATTTCTCAAACACTACTTGTTTAAAAACTCCGTCTTTCATCTACTTTCATTTCAACAAATTGATAAGACGAAAACACACTTGTCCACTATTTTTGAAGGAACAATTTTTTTTTTACGATAAATCCTTTCAAATGGAAAACATACTTATTCAACTTGTTCCTTGAAGCAGACGATCAGTTTTATTGAATGCAAAAAGCTTTCTAGTCAGACAAGTCTACACAAGTTTTCAATAGTGCTTGAATATTCTGTATTAAAAGAAAAAGGAGTATCTTTACAAAACAGAAATCTTCCTTCGAACACACACACACATTCAACCCCCCTTTTGTGTGTATTTCTGCTAACTTCAGGAGCCTTATCAACCCTCTGGTGAATCCGGTCAAAGGTCTAAGTGCTACTGGTCAGACAATTAGGAGGATGTTTATCTTTGTTTCTCAAAGACATGTTTGCTTAAGCCCAAAACACCGACCTACCCCAGCCAACCCTTCTTACTAAATACCTATTTGTAATCTTTTCTTGAAGCTTTTTTTTATTTATAATAAAGATACCACTTTTCTTTCATTTCTCTTGACCCATATGTTTAAATGATGTGGTTTATTATGAAAATCAAACCGTCCCGATAAAAAGGAAAATAAATAAACGAAAATAGCCCTGTATGAGCTCCTAACAACTGAAGGTTAATACGGAAGATTCCATGGTTAAATAATATATATATATATATATATCTGTTTTGCATTATAATATTCATTTCTTGATTTATGTATATATATATATATATATAATATAATATAATATAATAAAAGAATGCCAGGAAATCCTCAGCCCGGTGATCTATCTACAAGCAAGGGGCACGGTCCTCTCACAACAATGATCAAATTAGACAATTCAACAAGGTCAAGCACATCCATGTTGGCACCACAACAATCCACAAGGGCACGTCAAGCACCTCCTGTCTGTCATTCTTAAGTCATTACAAGTCAAGCAAACAAACGAGGGCGTCACCAGATTCCTCAAACTACAACATCTTTGTAGGCTTGGAGAGGTCATGCATAAATACTCACCATTGTAGGCCTGAAGAAGCCGTGTAGAAATACTCAACATCAAGCTCAGAAAAGGTTGTTGGACCCTTAAAACCAATACAAGCTCGAAAAAGGTTGTTGGACTCCCAAAACCAGTACAAACTCAAAAAAGGTTGTTGGACACTCAAAACCAGTACAAGCTCAGAAAAGGTTGCAGGACCCTCAAAACTAGTACAAGCTCGGAAAAGGTTACTGGACCCTCAAAACCAATACAAGCTCATAAAAGGTTGCTAGACCCTCAAAACCAGTACAAGCTCAGAAAAGGTTCACTGGATCCTCAAAACTAATACACGATTTGGAGTAGGTTGACTGAAGCCTCAATATTAGTACAACCTGGAAAGGCTAAGCTTAGAACATACTCCCTCTTGAGTGAGCTACAAATAAGGGACACACTATCACAAAATCAGCAAAAGCAGCATGGGATATCTACATCAAGTCAAAAGTGTAGATGATACAGTTTACCATTCTTGTCACCTAACGAAGCACGTAACCCAACACTTAACTACTCCAAAGGGCAAGGACACATGTAAACACCATCTACCCGAGGGAAACGATGTGGAGGCATCTACACTATTGAACAATGTTGTTAAATGGTCATTATGGCGGTGCCATAACGGTATGGTGGCTACCGCCGCAATCCGTTATGGCCATTTGGCCTATGTATGGTGTGGATCCAAGGCGTGCATGGCGATCATGGCACCGTTATGGGCTTTTTTCTTTATTTTTTCCGATTCGAGCCTAGGTTTCTTTCCCGGTTGGGGCGACCCATCAAATTTACTTTGTAAAATAGGGTTGCAGAAACCCTAATGCACATTATCCTCTCCTCCGTGCAACACGCGGTTGCTCCAAGAAGACCCACCGCCACCGTCGCCTCTAACGTAGCTACCACTGCCACCTCCGACACGACCGTCACCATCACCTCTGGCATGACTTTCTTTTCCCCCTCTGTGCATACCACTATCACCTCCGCGCGCGCCACCATCACCTCCGTGCACACCACTGTCACCTCCAAAGCGACTTTCTTCTCCTTTTGCATGCACGAGTCTTCTCTTCCACCTCTGTGCGACTAGTTCTTCCTCCTAGTTCCTCCTCCGTGCATGACAGATTCACCCTCCGCATGCCTCCTCCTTTGAGTTCGGCCATCGTCATTGCCACCACACCCAACGCAACCACCATAATCTACGATAATGTCAGGGGAGGCAGAAGTAAACTCCCAACCACAAACACTGTCATCTTCTAGTTCCATTAATTCTAAGAGGAGTGGTGTTGCTTGGAAGCACTCTACACCAGTGAGAGAGAATGATACAAATGAGATTCTTTGTAACTATTATTGGAAGGTTATGAAAGGAGGTATCACAAGGGTGAAACAACATTTGATTGGAAAGGCGGGCAATGTCACAACTTGTTTGATGGCTCTTAAAGCTGTCAAGGTTGAGATAAGGGCAGTTATGGATGGTAAGAAGCAGAGGCAAAATGAAGCATTCAGGAAGGCAATGCAAGAAATTTAAGCACAATGTGAAGAAAGATTTATGGAATTTGGGGGTTCTGATTCTCGGCCACCTCCAATTGGTGATTTTAGATTGAAGGATATTAGGAAAGGACCTATGGACCTTTATAATCAATCTCAATCTACAACTACAAAAAATAGGAAAGACAAGGTGGTGCAAGCAGACATAAGAGAGCTTTGTGAAAAAAAAATAAAAATAAAAATAAAAATAAAAAAAGCTATAGAAAAGGTGTACAAATATATAGCACATTTTTGGTACCAAGCTGGCATATCTTTCAACTTGATAAAGTTGGAAAGTTTTCAGGATATGCTTCGTGAAATTGGGCATTTTGGGAAGCATTTGAAAGCTCCTTCCTATCATGACATTAGAGTACCACTCCTTCAAAAAAAAGGTGGAGTACATTAATGAATTAATGAAGCCACTAAAGGATCAATGGGCAAGTTTTGGGTGTTCCTTAATGTCAGATGTTGGACTAATAGTAAACAAAGAAGCATAATCAACTTTTTGGTGAACTCCTCTTCTGGGACAATGTTCTTAAGGTCAGTTGATGCATTTGACTATGTAAAGACCGGTGAAAAGATATTTGAGTTGATTTATTCTATTGTGGAGGAGATTAGAGAGGAAAAGGTTGTCCAAGTTATAACGGACAACGGAAGTAATTATGCTCTTGCTAGTAGGTTGCTAGAAGAGAAAAGAAAAGAAAATTTATTGGACTCCTTGTGCTGCACATTGTATAGATTTGATGTTAGAGGACATTGGTAAGCTGCCCAATATAAAGAAGACCATTCAGCAAGCTATCTCTCTTGTTGGCTTCATTTATAGCCATTCAAGCACTTTGAGCATGTTGAGGTTCTTTACTGGTGTGAGGGAGTTAGTGAGGCATGCAATCACTAGATTTGCAACATCTTATCTTTCCTTAGAGAGGATTCATCAAGAGAAAACTAATCTTCGAAAGATGTTTATGTCAGAAGAGTGGAATGAAAACAAGCTAGCAAAGGAGGCCAAGGGAAAAGAAGCCACTAAAACTGTCTTGATGCCTAGTTTCTGGAAGAATGTTGTTTTCATTATGAAAGTGATGGCTCCTCTTGTAAAAGTGCTTAGGCTTGTGGATAGTGAGAAAAAACCAGCCATGGGCTACATATGTGAGGCAATGGACAAGGCAAAGGAAACCATTATGAAATCTTTTAAAAATGAAAGCAAATACAAGGATGTGTTTGCAATCATTGATAAAAGATGGGATATTCAACTTCATCACCCTTTACATGCTTTTGGTCACTTTTTGAACCTAGAGTTCTTTTATGCCAACCCACAGATGGAGTTTAACGGTGAGATTATTAGGGGTTTGTATGATTGTATCAATAAATTGCTAGGGGATTTGGAGATGGAAAAGATTGTTCATAAGGAGTTGGCTCACTATAAAGCTGCGAGTGGTATGTTTGGGTCCACAACTACTATAGCAATGAGGGGTAAAGTTGCACCGGGTAAGAGACAAAACATTGCAACTTTTGAACTTTCATTCTTTAAGTCATTTGCTCAAATTTCTATGTTTAACATATTTTGTTAGCATTTATAGCTCAATGGTGGCAGATGTATGGTTTAGATACTCCATATTTGCAACAACTTGCAATAAGGATCCTTAGTTTGACATGTAGTGCTTCGAGATATGAACGTAATTGGAGTATCTTTGAGCAAGTAATTAATTTTTTAATTCCTATTTAAAGTCAACAATCAATGTCTTGCTTATTATTCCTTAAGTAATAAGTTTTTATTTAATTATTTTAGGTTCATACTAAGAGAAGGAATAGACTCGAGCATAAAAGACTACATGACTTGGTATTTGTTAAGTATAATCAAGCACTCCATCAAAGGTATAACCTTAAGGATGAAATCAATCCCATTAGTTTTAATGGGATTGATGATTGCAATGAGTGGCTAATTAGAGAGATGGATGGGGAAAAAGGTGAAGATGAGAGGGTTCATGAAAGAGATGATGACCTTACATGGAGACAATTTTATTAAGCTTAGGGACTTGATGAGCCTAGACAATACACTAGGCGTCACAAAAGGAGAGGGGCAAGTAGGAACATCTACTAATCCTTCTAAAAGAGCCAAAAGAGTAGTTTCAAAGAACAAGGGGAAAAAGGTTGAAGATGTCGTGGCATCAGAAGATTCTAGCAGTGAGAAGGAGAAATTAGTGCCAAATGCTAATTTCATACATTCAGATGGAGAAAAAGCTGAAGGATTTTTAAATGAGCAACATCATCATGTGGAAATTAATTATGCAGACATTGATGAGGATGAAAAGGATTAAACAAAGTTTTAGGAATTGTCATTGTGTTTTGCTATTTTTTAACATTGTTGCTTTGTTTTGATGGCTATTTAATCCTTTTGTTGGTTAGGAATTTATGTTTTTTTATGATGACTTTCACTAGATTATGAATGCCATGAATTTTAGATTGTTATATTGTTGGTTCTAATATGTGTTTATTATTTTTCTATTTTTGCATCATATTATATATATATATATATATATATATATTGGTCCGCCATAGACCGCCATGGTAATATGGCACCTAAAGGTCCTTGCCGCCATCCACCGTATAACCTTACTGATAATCTTGCTGTTGAAGCAAGAGGGAAGATTCAAACTAACAATAGAAGAAGCGACATGGAACATTCACACGAAGCCCGAAGCTTAGATGGTACAGTTTACTATCCTTGACACCCAACAGAGCATACGACTCAACACTCAGTTTCTCCAAAGGGCAAGGATACAAGTAAACATTATCTATTCTAGGGAAACAACGTGGAGGCTGCTATTGTCAAAGCGAAAGTGAAGATCCGCATCTTCACCTCACCATCACAAGAAAAGCAACAAAAGGAAAAAACATGGAGCACCTACACGAAGACAAAAGATCAAGTGGTACAATTTGCCATCTTTGTCACCTGACGGAGTACGCAACCCAACACTCTGCTACTCCAAAGAACAAGGATGCAGGAAAACCCATCTATCTGAAGAAAACAACATGGGAGTGCCCAAAGGAAGAGATAAAGAGAAGACCCGGACGAAATGCCTACGTCTTTACTTGCCTTTGGAAAAGCAACACATAGTTATCCAAAAAGACAAGTAAAGACGGGCAGTTGTAGATACCTAATTTTGTCTGGGGCACACAAACAAAGAAATGGACATTGAACATGAAGAAAAGGAGTTCCCAAAAGCCCAGAAATGATACGATGACATTAGAAGGTCCAAAACCCAACAAGGGTGATTTTGTAGTTCAAAATGGGTCGTTCCCAATCTAGAACGGGTCATTCCAAATCCCTTAAAAGGCCTAGAAATCCTATGTGGAAACGGGTCGTTCCAAATTTGGAACAGGCCGTTTCAACATAGTTTATTAGGAGCAAAATTCAAATCTGGAACGGGCTGTTGTAATTCCAGAACAAGTCATTCCATATTCAAATTTTGGCCTTAACAAATTAGCCCAAAATGGGCCGTTCTGAAACTGAAACGAGTCGTTCTGGTCAGATATGATGTCTATAAATAGGAAAGTCAGGCACTGCTCCTAGGACCAAAAAAATTCACTTACGAAGTCTTAGATAGCTCAAAAATTCCTCTTTCTCCCTTTTCTTGTAATTCTTGAGATTAGCGAGACGTGTTGTAGTGTGTAAGGTAGCCAAAACGCGCCTAAAGGATCCCTACATTCAAAGATTCAATAAAGCTCGACTAAGAGGTATTCCAATCAATATCTTTCTCCTTATCTTATTTCCTTATTTTAATAAATGCGCTTCTGAATAAAAATAATCATGTTGACGTTTTAGGATAAATTGAGTAATTTAAATTTCAAGTATGTAAATAACCATCAATAAAGGGGAATTAATATTTAAAATATTATTTATTATTATGCTAACTTCATCATAAGGTACCAATTTAGGGCGTTGTGGGGGGTTCTTAATACCTTCCTTACACGTTACTGACCCTCGAACCCAATCTTGGTTATTAAGGCCAATATTGGACTTTCAAAAATATTTTCTTTTTCCAATGTTTTAAGTAAAACATTGGTGGTGACTCCATGAACCTATTTTCAAAACCATTATTCGAGGATTAGTCTAGCATCCGAGCACTCCTTAATTAATGAGATTTTTCAATTGGAAGTCTAAATCATTGGTCGTAAGATCGAAATTATCTAGGTTACGATATGGTTCAAAGTTTGAGGTTTTAGTGACCATAAGAGCCTTAAGCATTTATTTGATTAAAAGGAATTGAACATGAGGCAAAGGAGGTGGTTAGAATTCCTTAAGGATTATGACTTCAACTTGAGTTACCATCTAGGTAAAGCCAATGTGGTAATGCCTTGAGTAGGAAATCTCTTCATGTGTCTTCCCTTATGATTAGGTAGATGGATCTCCTAGCTTAGTTCAGAGACTTGAGTTTAGCTTGTGAGGTTACTCCTAGTAGTGTAAGGCTAGGTGTGACTCGAGTAACTAGTGACTTGTTGAGAGAGATTAGGAAACCTTAGTTAGTAGACCTTTTCTTGGTTGCTAGAAGTGAGGCTATAGGGCATGGTAGCGAAGGAGAGTTTACCTTGGGTGTAGATGGAGTAGTGAGATTTAGAGATCAGGTGTGTGTACCTAGTGAGCCTATGCTTAGGCGTTTGATTTTAGAAGAAGGCCATAAAAATAAGCTTAGTTTTCATCTAGGAGCAACTAAGATCTATGAGGACCTTAAGAAGATGTTTTGGAGGCCTAGGATGAAGAAGGACATAGTTGAATTTGTTAGTGCTTGTCTAGTTTGTCAAAAGGCCAAAGTAGAACATCAGAGACCTTTAGGGTTACTTCAACCTTTAAGTATACCCGAGTGGAAGTGAGATAGTATTTCTATAGACTTTGTAGTTGTTTTGCTTAGGACTATTATAGGACATGACTCTATATGGGTTATTGTAGATAGATTGATCAAGAGTGCTCATTTCCTACCTATTAACATTAAAAATTCCTTAGAGAGACTTGCTAAGATTTATCTTAATGAGATAATGAGGTTGCATGGGGTTCAATCTAGTATATTTCATATTGGGATACTATATTTACCTCTAGGTTTTGGGAGAGTTTATAGTGAACCATGGGAACTTAGCTTATACTTAGTTTGGCTTATCACCCACAAACCAATGGTCAAACTGATAGAACTATCCAATACTTAGAGGGTTTGCTCAGAGCTTGTGCATTGGACCAAGGGGGTAGTTCGGATAGCTTTTTGCCTTTGATAGAGTTTACTTATAACAATAGTTATCACTCTAGTATAGGCATGACACCCTATGAAGCCTTGTATTGTAGGAGGTGTAGGACTCCTTTATGTTGGTGTGAGTCGGGGGACAATATTACCTTAGGGCCCGATGTAGTACAACAGACCACATATAAGGTTAGAGTGATTCAGGAGAGAATGAGAACAACCTAGAGTAGATAGAAGAGTTATGTTAATAAGAGGAGGAAGGACTTATAATTTTAAGAGGAAGACCATGATTCTTGAAAGTCACTCTATGGACTGGGGTTAGTAGGGCATTGAAGTTTAAGAAGCTTACGTCTTGATTCATTAGTCTTTTCCAAATTCTCAAAAGAGTCAATAGACAACACCTACGCAGTTGCCTTACCCCCAAATCTTTCAAATCTTCATAGTGTATTCCATGTTTCTCAACTCCATAAATACATTTATGATCTTTCGCATGAGATTGAGTTGGATCATCTCGAGGTTAAGGAGAACTTGATAATGGAAGCTATACCGATGAGAGTTGAGGATTGAATGGTGAAACAACTCAAAGTTAAGAAAATTCCTTTGGTTAAGGTAATTTGTGGAAGAGCTACACCTGAGAGTGCTACATGGGAGCTAGAAGAGAAGATGAAGGAGTCATATCCGGACCTTTTCATTCAGGTAATTTAGGGACGAATTTCTTAAAAGGTGGGGGGAATTGTAACATCCTAATTTTCTAAAAATAAATATTATTAAATAATGAGTAATTTTGTAATTAAATAGTATTATATCATATTCATAATTATTATTTGGAATTAAATGTGAGAAGTATTTTATTAAATAAAATAATAAGGAAATTCTATTAAATTAAATTAATTTATTTTAATTTAATGAGAGAAAAGAAACGGGTCGGGTTGACCCAGTTTAGTGAGCTTTAAGAGAGGGGTTAAGCAAAGTTTACCCTAATTTATCTTATTTTGCATTCCATAAGAACTAAGAGAGAAAAGGAAGAGAAGGAAGAAGCTTTGAGGAAAAGTGCTCAGATCGTCTCAAAACTACATCAAACTGCTTCAGATCATCATAATAAGGTACGGGAGGGAAATGAGCTCATTCATATGTTTAGGGTGGGAGAAATCTCTAAATTCCTAAGATTTCCCATTTTTTGTTCTGATGTTGCAATTACCAATTCAATTAAGTTTTTTTTATTGATTTATGAAAGCGTTTATGGTATTGTTTGGTAAAATTGATGATCTGGATGATGATTGAATTCATTGGGATGAAACTATGGGTTAGGGTTCTTGAGTAATTTGATTATTGTTAATTGGTATACAAATTCACGAATTAAAGTTATATAATGTGTTTTCAGGTAAAATAATAAGTGTTTCTAATCAGTTGGATTGGTAAAAGGAGGATTATATGATTATTTATGAATTTTGGTGATGTTCTATTCATGCTGCATTTCTAGAAAACGCATTGGGCACAGGGATTGAGTTTTTGGCGCTAGGCTTGCATTCATACTGATGAATATGAAACCTAGATGAGGTTACACCGGGCGTGGTGTGACACCCTCTACCCCAACATACATATACAATCATTTAAAAAAAATGTTAATTAAAATCTTTCATAAATAAAACCAAATTCTCAAATATCTTACGTAGAGGATTCACATTCATAAACTCATAAAATATCTTAAACACAGAAATTACAAAGAAATAAAACTGAGTTTTCAAATAGTTTAATGGAAATAGCATCATAAACTAAGCCTAGCTATGTCCCGATGTCACATATCCTATCAGAGAATGCCCAACTGAAGCCTAAGTCTCATCACCAACATCCTCATGTTGATGATCACCTGCAACACAATTTAAACACAGACAAATAACAAGGGAGTGAGAAACATCTCACTCAAGTTCAGGTGCAGAAATAAAGGTTAGATAGCACAAACACACAACAAACATATTACAAGTCATAAACACCAATCACATATAAACAATACACATACATAATCAATATTACATGTACACTAATTTATCATGCAATGATATCATAGACTTGACTCATAAATGCATGTGGCG